ATCTTCAAAAGCAAACTAAACTTCTCTGAAGAGGTGAAATACCTTGGTACTATCCTCGACAGGAAGCTAACATGGAACTCGCACTTATAGAGTAGGACAAAAAGAGCATATGTGGCTTATGAGCAATGTCGGAGGACAGTGGGTCACGCATGGGGTATTTCACCCCGTGTGGTCACCTGGATCTACACTGCAATAATATGTTAATGTACGGAGCCATTGTATGGGGACCGAAAGCTCTACAAGCAACGGCCATCGAAAAATTATATCAAATACAGCGACTGGCTTGTTTAAACACCACAGGAGCCATGAGAACAACATCAACCGCGACAATAGAATTCATTTTAGGTCTGACCCCTCTGGACTTGTACGTTAATGACCATGGTACGATTGCGCACGGCTGATGTAAACCTCGAAGTAGGAATGGGTCAATTGAGGCTGAGCATATGGCTAAAAGCGGTTACTGCGCAACCTCTGCTGCAGTCAATCAATGATGCATTTGAACCCAGGTTGGTGTTTAATGAACTCTACAAAATACAGATAATACAGTCCAAAAAAGGCTGAGAATGTGGAGTGTACTCCAGATCACTAAGCCTAAGGATTGAGTGGGGAATGGAAAAAATACCAGCGTGGTCCAAACAGAACTGTTCAAAAAAATTTGTTTGAAATCTGTTTTTCCGTTAATCAGCTGTTGCCTCCATATGAACGACAACTGTCAGAAGTTGAGAAACTTGTGCGAGCTAAGGACTAGCGAGGTTTTACCTTTTAACGTGTGATTCCTAACACGGCTGGTATCTAAATCGCTACAAAAGAAATAACCAAGAAAGGAATTTCTGGCAAAAACATAACAATCTGCACTGGCAACAGATAAGCCCTATTAGCCTTGTACAGACAACGCAGGCGGTCGCCCTCCTGCCCTCGCCCCGTCTCTTTGCCCTCTCTCTTGGCGTACAAGAAGAGGCACGCCAGTTCCTCGCCACGAGTTTTTTCGAGTTCATCCTCAAAAATGCAGGATGATGTTGACTCCAGCATACAATTTTGCAAAAAAGTTGGCAAATATCCTCGTTCATTTGATTTTAGTCTTGCTCATTAATGTAATAGGAGTGCTCAAGACCAGGCCTGGCAGGAAATTGGCTAAAAAATACACCAAATCCAACATATCTTCATAATTTTCGTCACTGCTTGAAAAATCCATGTTGTAGTCCACACAACCAACAGGTTACTGACATCCTTTCTCGCCGCCGTCCCACTCCTCTGTGTGCATTGCATACGCCATGCTTCCACTACGTCCATGCCATGCCGAAGTCTCGTCACTGCTAGACGCTCGTTCTGTGTGAATTGAGCCTTATGCGAGCGTGTGAGATGCTGGTCTGCTTTGGCTCATTGGAGACACGATATTTCAACAATGACACTCTCAATGCAGAATTTCGGGGCGCGTCTGCCTTTCACAACCGGAGTCACGATTAGAGAAAACAAAATCCTGGTTGGTAGGCCGTGGTCGACTAAAACTTCAATTCAGTTCATATTCCTAAAAAACAATAAATGCTTAAAATTAGGGAGTATAACTAACTAAAATGTATTATGAAATAACAGAAATAAGATAATTTCAAGATAACACCTAACCTTTAAAAAAATGACAATGAAATGCAGTCATATATAAAATTGGTTGCAGAAAATACTTGTTGAAAACGAATAAAAATGTAACATAGGATCTTTCATTAAGCACTTCCTGTCTTTAAATGTGAATACAACAAAGTATGTGAGATATTTATTGAAATTTTGTATTCATTTGAAAGACCTATCGATGCCATCATATGTGGAATAGAACACGTTCAACAGATGTAGCTTCACGAAGACTCTATAGAAAAACGTTCAAACTATGAAATTCCACTAATGAATTTTTTTTCAGTGTTAGTAGTAGTAGTGGTAGTAATGGTGGTATCCGCAATCTAATTATATATAATGATACTATTGTGATATATCGACTTTTTCCCAAGTTTTGTTAGTATTCTGATTTTTGACAGTAATTTGGTTTGGTCATTCGTATCATTTTCAACAGAATGAATGAAACAGCTGATTTTAAGGTTATAGAGAGAATTTAAGTCCAATAAATGGTTTGGTTTATATAACTCCAATGTTGTTTCCAAATATGCTAATCTATAACTGCTGATTAAATTGTTTTGTAAGGTTTTCAGGGGTTTGATTATCGAAGTACCAACCATTTCAGTAGAATATGTGTTATATTCGAGAATAATGGCGAATGCTCGTTTTTTATTGGTCCCCACTTTTGCTGGATTGTTCTGATTGCCTTCCCCGCCATCACCCCCATTTCCCTCTCAAATTATCTATACGAATTAACACTGAGCTCACCAGTTAGTCGGTGCTGAGACTTCAATAATATAACCTTCGTACTCATAGTCAACATACATACCACTAATGATGTCTGCCGCAGTAGCTGACGAAACAGTCGGTACTACAACTTATGTTTTTTCAAGCAGTTCACATGAGCATGGCCTCCCTATTTCCAAATAATCTTTCTTATTTTAAAATAATCTCCCATTAAATGAAAGTCGAGAAGGTGAGATCAAGAAATCTGGGAGGCCATTGATAGGAACAGGTTCATTCATCACTGAATGATGATCCCACAAATGATAATAATATCAATAAAATGTTCAGAATCATAGTCAAGAACTGTATACGACATAAGGAAGATCAGCAGGGAAAATCGGAAACCGTAATAGATAAAAGTTGATTAAATTAGGAAAAATTGGCTATTTTAGAATTTATTCAATAGTAAGTGTTTTGAAATTAACAAATTGAACGATTATGATAATACATCGGTAAAGTTGTTGCCTATATAAAAAGGCTAACTCATATAGGACGATTATTTTCGATCGATATTAAATCAATAAATCAATGATTCATCAAAAGTTGGACTTTTTATCGACCTTTTTGGGTGTTTTCACTTCTCACAATGTGAAATAATATTATAATCGCAACGGAGAGTTTTTTACAGGTGTAGAAGGGGCAAACTTTCTACTTAACTCCGAGAAGTTACTTATCTCAATGTTTTGGAGACGAAAATCTTAGTATCTGCCTCTGTCTTCATGATTGGAAGAATCTCATGATGCGCGCAATTTTTTTTGGGGTAAACTAAAATGTTTCTTCTCTCCACACCTCTATGAAGTTCTCCATTAGATTTTTTTTTCAGATTGTGGATGGTAAAAGTACCCTAGAGAGGTCGATGAAAACTTTGATTTTCTCCATAAAAAATTAATTCATATATTGTAATAGAAATGTTTTTGTTTCTGATGATGATATTCCAAATTGCAAATCTTCAAAAGCTCAGCTTCGTTAGATTCTTGTTGATTATTTCTTTTTTATTATTTACCCCTTTTTAATAGCTTCACCTCTATGTATATTTTACTGAATTGTTTTTTGAAATTATTACTGAAAATTTTCTCTTTACTTCCAAACAAATTTTACAACTGTTCGCCTTCTGTTGAAGCCTTACTGCATCTCAGTATTACTATAGAATTTAAGACCTCAAACTTTATTATGTTGTTTGAGAGGAATTTCACATTCGTGCGCAGTCTGTTGAAGATTTATAATACTGGTGAATAGAACTTAAAATAAAATTATTTTTGACAATAAATCGGACTAAAAAGTGAAAAATAAATACAGTTCAAAAAACTAAAAAACACGCTCTTGACGAAAATCGAACTTAAAGAATATCGAACTAAAAAGTTAAAAATATTTTTTTCAAATAAGCTACAATAACGGACGAAAAATACTAGTATTATTGTGAAAAAATCGTGGGCACTTTGTGCCATATTTTTTGTATATCAAGCGCCCGTCGCTTTTCTCACAATAATGCTAGTATTTTTCTTTCGTTATTGTTTTAAGCTTATTTAAAAAAAAAATCAATATTTCAGTTCGACGTTCTTCAAAAGCGTGTTTTTTAATTTTTTAAACTATATTAATTCAAGTTCTCTCTGGAATCTTTTCGATATTTATAATTTTTTTTTGTTGCTGTTTATGTCATTCTTGATTTTCAATTTCGCTCCTATAAACAAAGATGTTTCTTAGTGAATGAATGGTTGATCAATTTATTCATTCCTGCAAATGTATACGATTGGGCGAACCATTTGTGTATTCAGTCATGAATAAACTCATCAATATTATTGAAAATTTACTTACATTGTTACCCAGATGTAATCAAATAAATAAATGAATCCAGTTATGACGGTGAGTACACATTCCATGATTGCCAGCCAGTTATTTCCTTTTCCCCTAAGAAACAATAAAAATCCCCCGCAGAGCCAATACGTGAAAAAAGCTGTAATGGCAAACATTATCCACGTTTTGGGTCCTATGCGATGCCATATCCACCATGACACCACATCGAAAAAAGTTATGAGCCAAAAAGCTGAAGATACTGCCAACAAAATAATTTTTGTCACCATATGTAGAGGAGTCGAATAAAGCAGGATGGCGAAAGTCAAGCAAAATGCAGAAAGTATCTGAAAACAGAAAGAACAATTTTATCATTTTACTGTTGACAGCTTTGAAAATTACAATTTTCCACGTAACGGAATATAAAAGAGATTTTAATTGGCTTGAAGTTTTTGAATGAATCTTGTTTTTATTATGTACGTCATGTAGCTTACTCAATGTGGCTTTCCATTGCTTGTTGTCAACTGTCATTGACTTCGAATTAGGGAAAGAAGTTTTCTGGGGTTGTTCTCCGTAATAAAATAAAGGTCTAGTAAAATGATTGTGTTTTATACAAAAGGATACTTTTTTGTTAATAAACAAATTAGTATCAGTACATGATTGTATTTTTTCAATAACTGCTGTTCCAGCAGTGTTAGTATTTCTGGAGGGAATATATTGTAAATACATTTATTCATGTATTTCTATTTTGTCCCCTTCAAAGTTGTCCTCCTCAGATATGATAACACTCACGCCAGCGTTTTTTCCAATCTTTGAAGAAGATATGATAAGCACTTTTTGGTATGTTCTTGAGCTTTTCCATCGATTCGGTTTTCTCCTCAATCATCGCAAAACGCCGTCCTTTCATGGGTGTCTTCAACCTTGGGAACAGGAAAAAGATGCAGGGGCCAAATCTGGTGAATACGGTGGCTGAAGCATGATTACGGTATTGTTTTTCACTATACTGGGCGTTTTTTTTTCGTATTGCTTTTCACAAGCAGCATATAATTTCAAGATGATAGCGCAAGAAATTGCAGATCCTCTCGCTTGGATGATAAACTTTATCATTTTGTACGGAACAGTACCAAACATTTCAACAGTAGCAGTTATAAAACCATTACACAAGGAAGATGACAAGTTGAGCATGAACAACTATATTTTGGCCAAATATTGGAAAAAAATATTATGGAGAAATACCGGAGAAATGCAGCCTTCTATCCCAAAAGCGATTAGGATTTAGGGCTAAATCAACAAACATGCAATTGTAAAGTATCGTCAGATTTGAGTGACACCATTGATAAAAAAAACCTTCAGGATAGGTAGTAAATTGGCAATTTTTCACAACATTGTGGCCACGTTGACTGCACTTTGCGGTTGACCCAACCACATTTTTGTGGTCGACTTGCGGTCATATAAACCGCATTTGCAGTTGAGCCAACTAACATCTACATTTTGTGGTGTCAGAGTTTAGTGTCCAGTGGATTTCGAAGAAGAAGCACTACTAGTTTTTATTTTGAGGAGAAGGAGAAGATGTAGGAAATTACGATCGTTTTGGGTTCATCCACTTCTGGTTGCGCGACAACAGGAAGGAAATTTTTATATTTCGTTCGAAGGTAGTTGACAATGTTTTGTGGTGCATTTCATCAGTTCGGACTTCCATTGTCTAATATGATAAATTGATTTGAAATCTGTGAAAGAATATGTAAAGAAATTAAAAAGATTAACAGAAAAAACAATTTTATTAAGCAAAAAACTGAAATTACAATGAAATTATATACAAGCAACAACCGGTAAACTCCGGCAAGACGAAAAAAATGTTTTAATTACTTCAGAATGTCCATTAGTTCTGTTGATGAATTAATTAGAATTTTAATATGAAAAATTGAGCGCTGTGAAACCAATATGAGAAAAAGTACAGGACGGTGTACGCGGTTGGGTACGACTGCAAGTTTGTGGTTAGTGTACGGCGGATGACGCGATGACATCTCGGCGGAGATCAGCAGCAAGTTGACTGCAGACGCCCGTTTTGACTTTTGTGAACGCCCGTTGTACGTGTATTATAGTATTTCTTATGGGCGGCTTGAGTTCGCTGGAACGCGACTGCAGTTGTGTGGTCGATCCGACCGCAAAATGTCGCGGGCTCTCTAAGGCATCGTCAGGTGTAGCTGACGTACAAAAACCCTCATATGGTAAGGTTGTCGCGGGTATCAAGGAGGGAATCGTGCACCTTGACTATCCTCATTAACGATGAAACAGCAGAGCATATACTTTGTGCCTGCCCCGCTGGGGAACGAATCAGGTTGTTAGACTTCGGCAGAGCTGTACTCCTACCATCTGACCTGAAAGACCACTCACCATACAAACTAATCGGATTCGTTAAGAAGCTGGGTTTATTTGGTCGAGTGTGAATAGGTGTGAGCCACAATAAACTCTTGCGGGTTGCAGTGGAGGATCAAATAGACCCATTTACTTCGGACCTAACCTAACCTCCCTGAAGCATTATCAGACACGCTCATTAACATCATTGCTTAGGGTAGGACTCATAAGACAAACATTCGAAATCTCGAAGCAGTACCAAGATGACTACTGAAAATAGTTTTCAGAAAGCTTTGAAGATATGATACTAATAATAATAATAATAATAATAGCTTTATTGTGCATAAATTACACACAAAAGGTAGGGGTTAGCCTATGGCTATCTTCCACCCCTCCTGCTAAGTAATACAAATAACATTTATGAGCAATAAGGTAATTACCTAATATAATTCAATTTTCTTCAGCGGCAAAATTAAAAGAAAGAATATGATAAATACATCTCAGTTTGCAGAAAAGTAAAGGAAAACACTACACTACAATACATTACTCCATGCTGGTCAACAAAGTTNCTTAACGTTATTTTTATTTTTGTCAAGCACAAATTGCATATAGGCAGATTTCTCACGTTTCACAGCTTCGTTGACATAATTTCGAAGCGTAATATAATATGCTCTATCTGTATCAGATCTAGTTCGCAAATACCTTCGATGAGCTTTGTTTTTCGTTTCAATCATGAGCTTGATATTATGAGTGATGTAAGGAACAAATCTTCGAGTTTTTTCATTTTTGTTAATTAAACAAAGTGGAGCATGAATATCGAAAAGCGACAAGATGTGGTTATTGATGAAGTTGACTTTCTCGTTGATATCGTATAGATACACTATATCTCCCCATGGTTTACTATTTGCGTCTAACGCAAAGTTGTCCATGTTGAAGTTTCTGAACTTTCTGAAATAAAATAAATTGTTACATACCTGTTGCTTTTCAAGTTCCAGGCTACAGACAGTCATCATATGATCAGTTATACCGAGCATATCAATTGTATTGCAATGTTCTACTTCCATCCCATTACTGACACATATTACATCTATCAATGAAGTCTCAATGAGTCTCGATGAAGCTTTTCACTGAGACTCATGATGGATGTTCGCCAGATATTTTGCAAAGATGTCGTCTTCAAGCAATATTTCAACAAACATGAACGTAGCTTTTGACTGTTAAATATAAATCAAAAAAATCAAGTGGGATAAATTTATAAAAGTGTCCTAATCTCAATTCTGAAATCGTTATGAGTTGAAGAAAGTTAGTCTCACTCTCAATCATTCCCTCCAGATCAAAAGTAATGTAAATTTCAATTCAGTAAGTGAATACGTGAACAGTCTATAACAGTATATCGACCCGCCCTGGCTCCGCATGAGTGCAATGCTGATACTAAATAAACATGTCAACGCGTGCAATCACTGCTAATCATAAAGTCCTATAAGACGAGGCGCGGCCTTCGACACGCTATTTATAGGCACGCGCGCCGGCCGCCCGGCCGGTACCGTTGCAACCGCTATTTCCCTGCATTTCAAATCTGTAATATGTTCGACAATATTTATTTGAATTATATGCTGTAAAGGACAATATTGACCTATATTAAACTATATTAAATGCATACTGTATTTAAGGTACTCAATTGGATAAGGATCAATGTTTTTATGCTTAAAACCGCTTCGTAAATAAGCCATTATTTCTCGAGGATAAAAATTGGTTATTGTTGGTTAACTCTGAGAGATAGGCGTATAATATCGCGGACTTTTTTGTAGACCTTTTCAAAGTGTACAATGATGTAGTAAATTTTTTTATCTATCTCATAGGGTTTAGACAGCGCAGCGTTTGCAATGTAAGAGCAAAAAATAGTGTTTATCTACGACATCACATTAGAGACCTAAGTATAAAATTATCAGTGTTTCTCTACTATATCATGTATGTTTTATATACTTGAATCTCCCTTTCTATTGAAAACCCGCATTGGAAAAAATGCGTAGTTTTGAAGATCTAAGCATACAGACAGCGCGAAGCGACTTTGTTTTATATTTTGTATATTGTTTATATTATGTAGTGATAACAATATAAACCAAATTTCAAAAAACATGTACTTACCAGCTCTATGCATCTGACAAAATTACATTTTCCCGAAATGAGGCATGCACAGAATTTAGGTTTATCGACTGCAAACATTGGCCAACTCGGGGAGGTGTATTAAACTACTACCAAATGAAACAATGGTGAATTGTTTTCTGAAAATAGAGACTGAAATACTTTGTATTTCTTAACTGAATACATTGACCGAATGGGTTAACATAACTGAATTTAACGCAAAATTAATCCTTTTCTCTGTATTGAATTATCATGTTGATGTCATTTTGACAATACGCAAGACGTCTGTCTCTCAGACAAAGAGAAGGCCGATCTGTCAATTCGTTCCAAATACTACAAAATGATCATGAATCTGAAAAATATGTAACTATACTGAGTCCAAGATATAACATTCTCTCTTGTATTTTGTTATATGATCTTTCGAATATCCGGATTTTTTTTCGATTCGCGGATGTCTGCCATCTTATCAATTTTGATCTATGCGTCTCTTGAATTTAGAACCATGATGTATTACTTGTCATGTCTTGTCAGAGTGAAACAACCTCTGAAGATACATTTTTTCATTGCCATTCTACAGGGTGAGTCAACAAGATTCCCTCGGTTCATTACTATCAGGGAAAACAATTTTTCGAATTGTTCCACTTTTTTCGCAGTCATATCGATAAATACTATTTTTCAAATTATTTTCTCGCATACTGGGTGATTCAGTTGACCGTGGCCAACCAAAGTTATATATTTTTTTGAATAGAACATCCAGTATATGAATACCTCATTCAATTCCATATTTTTTCCTTGCGGCATTGCCAAGTTATTCCAGAAAAACCTATTTTGTAGGCAATATTTTTTCAATTCACCAACCGCATGTCTATAGCAATCAAGTGGATTTTTTCAGAAATAGTTAGTCAACATCACTACATTTTTTGTCAGAGGTATACAAAAAAAAACAGTTATTTTACAAATTATACTCAGTTTTATTAATTGTTGTAACCACAAAAAATTCATTTATTTACGTTCACTTACTCAACATTTTTTCAATATGAACAATAACGCCTAAATTTTTTGTTGAATAGAGAAGTCCAAAAGATTTTCAACATAGCGACCATTTTCTGCAACACATAATGTCAAGTTTTTTTTAAACGAATTCTCTACAAGTTCCAGCATATCCTCTGGGATTTCCCTGAAAGCTCTAGTGATTTTTCGTTTCATGTCTTATATAGATGTTGGAGGAGTTTGGTAAATATAGTCCATTTGATATATCTTCATGAAAAAAATATTTTGCTCAGGTCAGGTGACCTGGGTCGCCACANTTATATATACTTCTAATAATGGTATTTTTATACAAGGTTTAATGAATGAATTGAAGCTAAAATAGAAATGTCAATGACTCAAAAAGGAGAATATCTTATTTAAATATATTGATGTACTTGGTGAAAAAACAAATATCAATATCAATTACTATTATTGATGAATCAAAAAATCTACTGTGATTCCAATTAGTTCATTTCAACTAAAAAAAATTTACCAAAAATACTCTTCAAAACAACAACTAAAGAATCCGTAGTATATGTTAGGAATATAAACTTATTTTTCATTAGTTGTTGAAATGCGAGTGCAACTAATAACGAATCGAAAAACAAAGCTGGAAATCTGAAAATTAAGTATCGACAAATATGACAAATATGACAACCTCGATAAACCATACTCTACAGATACGGTTCAGCATGTAATAACTAGAGAACCTTTCTTATTCATTTTCAAAGCATTATAGTTTTTTATAGTTGATTTATGTTACACTTACTCTCTTGTTAATATTAATTTACTTCAATTTCACTTATAAATACGCTTCAGACCTCTTGGTAAGTAAATCCTAATAGATAGTTAGACATTTGATGCTATACATTACCTAAAAGTATATATACACGAGACAAAAAAATATTTCAATATAACAAAGTTTGATTCAGAAGTCCTCTTTTCTTACGAAAGTAAACATGGCATCAACGGCAAATACCACTACATTGATAAAAGCAAAAATGATAGAGGTCGTCATCATTGTTAGCAGGTACATATTGGGGTGGTAGAAGTAATGTTTCATCAAGTACAGTCGATCTACTGTGAGAAGAATACCTGCAAATAAAGTAAAGGCTCTTTATTTTGGGTTAAATTAACAAATATAGTTTACAAAAATACAAAATGACAAGTACTTAGACTATCACATGACATTCTCACAAAGGCATTTATTTTTTGGTACTAATAGATATTTTTATCTCGTTTGTTCATCACTAATTTCGAACATCTCATATTTGAGAACAAAAAATCAAATATTCACTAGAATTAGAATCAAACATGTCATTCCTCAAGGAAATAAAAAGTGGTATGCCCAGGTTCTAATTCATTGAAGATATTTTTAATTACATTTCATTACATTTTTGTGAAAGTTTTTGCATTCATCAATGTGTTTTCCAAAAATCAATGCCTACTTGTTCAACTCCCAACACCTTTTATTGTTTAAATTTGATGTTATTGAATCATTATTCATTTCACAAACGTGCGTAACTATTCCAGGATATCCAATAAGAAACTGCCCAAGGTTTGTCACGCATGCCAATTTTCATAAGGATGTCAAGAGCAATCTCAAAAAACTATGAATATATATATTTTTTTCAATTATGATATGAAGATATGATATGAATTTAAAAAAAGGATTCATTGAGCCATCATTGATATGGCTTTCGGAAACAAAGATCAATAGGCGACCTTCTATCGTATGTCACCCATATTTGGAATAACGCAATAGAGAAATATGGAAAATCAAGAGCTGTGTGGCATGAGGGTTTGTTGGCCACACTTTGATGCTATGGCTTGTCGGATCATTTCTGTGTATAGCTTTCCAACTTCCTGGAATATCGTTCCTTGTAAGTGGCCGTCGATGGATATATCTCGAATTGTTTCACCATCAACGCTGGTGTTCCCTAGGGATCCATATTATCTCTAACCCCTTTTTTTATTGTATGTCAAAGACTTATTGGAAAAAACAAGGATCCAATATATTGCTTTGCTGACGACAGCATACATGTCCCGTCATTCCATTTGGATTCCAAGACATCGGCTACGGGGGCACATCTTCACCGGAAGCAGGAGATTGCATATCTTAATGATGATCTAGAAGTGATTTCGGATTGTAGTGAAAGTAACCAGGTTCAATTCAATGCCACAAAAACCCAGGCATCGGTTTCCTTCAAGAAGATAAATGTCTCCGAACCGGATATAATAATGTCAGGTCAGACAATTCTACTTTCTGCTTCGATAAGTTTGTCAGAGGTTAAAATGGACACCAATATGTCTTGGCACAATCATGTCGCTGGAATTCCAAAGGCTACTTCACAAAAGCTTGGAGCACTGTTACGAACCAGAAAACTGTACACACCTCAACAACTTTTGATGATGTGTAAAACTCAGATCAGACCTTCTTTGGAGTATCGTTCTCATGTATGGAGCTCTGCCCCGAAACATACTCTGAAGTTGCTGGATTCAATCCAGGGAAGAGTCATCCGCCTGATTAGAGAAGCGAACATCACGTGCAACCTTGATAGCCTGGAAATGTTGGAGATTTGTCTCTCTTCTATAGATACTTTCACGGGAGGTATTAAAGTGACTTGGCACATTTGATTCCACCAAGAGCGGTACATATCAGAAATACGCGACATACTGTGGCTGCTCATTGTTTTGAGGTTCAACTCAGTACGAACTTCACTGTTTAAAAACTCTTTCATGTGTAAAACTGCGTTTATATGAAATACACTTGCTGAGAACGTTTTTCCAAATGGATTTAATCTCCAGCGATTCCAATCCAATGTAAATCGCTACTTCCGTAAAGATACCGCTCTGAGAGCGCCTTAAGGATTTTCCTGTAGGGCTTGTATTTTGTCCTTAAAAAATATGCGGGGCTAAAGGATCCGTAATATTTGGGTAATGTGTCTTTGGTATTTTTTGAAGTGGTCTCTTTCAATATAGACAACATTTCATTTTATTCAAAATTCAAGATGATCTTTCAGATGAAATTTTTTGTCTCAAAGAAGTTTGGAATGTAAAAGTATTTTTCATTAGTTGTTTAGTTGTTGAATTGCGAGTGTAACTAACAACGAATCGAAAAACGAACCTGGGAATCTGAAAATAAAATATCAGAATATTGAATTTTTGGAAAAAAAATTACATATGACAACCTTGATAAACCAAGTAAACCTCCAACCTTATAAGCTATAACGAAGAGTTCTGAAGATGTTTTTTAACATATGGAACCAAACCACGCCACATAATTCAATTTTAGTGTCATTCGATGTAAAGAGTATGTTCTCCAACATACCGTACAACGAGTGTAAGCCCCTCATTTAAGATATACTACATCAAGCCAAAGTAGACGATATCACTTCCTTTGAAGTTTCAACAGCTTTCGATGTGTACTACCTACAGTTCAACACATATCAAAAAAAGGATTCATGTTTACCAATGGGCTTGGCTACTCCTCAAAAGCTTGGAGCACTGTTACGAACCAGAAAACTGCACACACCTCAACAACTTTTGATGCTGTATAAAACTCAGATCAGACCTTCTTTGGAGTATCTTTCTCATAACCGAAACATACTCTGAAGTTGCTGGATTCTATCCAGGGAAGAGTCAACCGCCTGATTAGAGACGCGAACATCACGTGCAACCTTGATAGCCTGGAACATCGAAGAAATGTTGAAGATGTGTCTCTCTTCTATAGATACTTTCACGGGAGGTATTGAAGTGACTTGGCACATTTGATTCCATCAAGAGCGGTACATATCAGAAATAAGCGAGAGACTGTGGCTGCTCATTGTTTTGAGGTTCAACTCAGTACACCTCGAACTTCACTGTTTAAGAACTCTTTCATGTGTAAAACTGCGTTTATATGAAAAACACTTGCTGAGAACGTTTTTCCAAATGGATTTAATCTCCAGCGATTCCAATCCAATGTAAATCGCTACTTCCGTAAAGATACCGCTCTGAGAGCGCCTTAAGGATTTTCCTGTAGGGCTTGTATTTTGTCCTTAAAAAATATGCGGGGCTAAAGGATCCGTAATATTTGGGTAATGTGTCTTTGGTATTTTTTGAAGTGGTCTCTTTCAATATAGACAACATTTCATTTTATTCAAAATTCAAGATGATCTTTCAGATGAAATTTTTTGTCTCAAAGAAGTTTGGAATGTAAAAGTATTTTTCATTAGTTGTTTAGTTGTTGAATTGCGAGTGTAACTAACAACGAATCGAAAAACGAACCTGGGAATCTGAAAATAAAATATCAGAATATTGAATTTTTGGAAAAAAAATTACATATGACAACCTTGATAAACCAAGTAAACCTCCAACCTTATAAGCTATAACGAAGAGTTCTGAAGATGTTTTTTAACATATGGAACCAAACCACGCCACATAATTCAATTTTAGTGTCATTCGATGTAAAGAGTATGTTCTCCAACATACCG